AGTGTACTGTTGCTGTGCCTTACTAACACATGTCAAAGTTGCAAGTTCAGGTGTTAGGATTTGTTTTACCCAGCATCATGAAGGAGTTAAAGTTGAAACAGTTTTTCTCAATTCACAATGTAAAAATAAATGAACACCAATAAAGAGTGAGCAATGTGTGGCTGTTACTGCATATACTGGAATACTCTGACTTTCTTACTTTTCAATCAAGCTAAAACTTACAAATCTGACTGGAGTACAGAGCTCTGCAAAGAGTTCTGTGAATGCAGGAGGTCTGGATGAACGTCATGATCTGTCTTCCTCAAGTCACAGGATGCCTTTTATTAGTTGAAAAGAATGCAAGATGTTTTTGGAACGGATGAGCTGCAGAATGAGCATATGCGCTGTGATCTCTGTACTCCAGGTCAAAGTGGAGTACCGAGTACTCTAGCAAGATGTACGGCATTGACTGAAGTGTGACGGAATGAAAGAGTACAACATAATGCAGCAGTGGTCATACATTGCACATACTTCATTAGTGCTCATTTATTTTTTATGTGGAAAATGGCCTGAAATTGTCTTTGACCAGAGTTTAGATGTAATAAACAGTGCATAGAGCTAAGTGCAGTAGCCCGTAGTAACTAATCATCATGCTTACATCACATCAGTACAAGACAAATGATCGCTTGCCATGCTTACTATGTCTTGCTCTTTGAGCTTTGCTCCTTCCACTGGTTTGTTGAGTAAGCCCAAAAATATGGCCAAAAAAATAATCAATAAACACGAAGTCTTCCCTATTTGGGCTTATGAATAATGTTCCACTAAACTGAAGGCTCCTTAGAGAAGTTCTCATACTAACGAGCTTTGTCTCCTGTTTGTCCATTAACCCCCTCACTCTCATCTTGCATATTCCATTAATCCACTTGCATTATTAATGAAAAGGGAAACAAACAGATGGGAAGCAGGGTGTGTCCATATGACCCCCTACTATGTTTCATTCTCTTGACACTTTCTGTTTGAGACTAGTAGTCTTACAGCCTTCTCCTCAACCCCTTAGGGGTAGCCTAGTGCTCTGAGACTACATCTAAAGATGAATCGAGCCACATCATAGGGTTTATGCATGCTGAGTAGCTAGAAGCAGAATATACAATTCCAAAGAATTAGGAAATATACTTACTATTCTATACTTACATATAAATAATTAGTGATTGCTCCCAATGTTAACTGTATGTAGGTTTGCACATAAATCAACTTGTGTTTTATATTGCATCTATTTTATGGTTATAAAATGACATGTTTATTTCAAGTAATGAAGTTGTTTAAAGATAGCATTTATTATTCAGTATGCATGTTAGAGATCTACAGCAAACACATGAGTAACATTCTTAGAAGATAGATGCTGAGCAAGTATATATATACATAATAGTAGGTAACAGATTTTTGCAGTAAGTTGGGGCCGTCTAGTTGCAGCAGATCACAATTGGTTAAACACAAAGGATATGAGCAGAGAGTGAAATATATATATATATATATATATATACATACACACATATACAGTATATATAGATCTACTATATTGCCAAAAGTATTGGGACGCCTGCCTTTACACGCACATGAACTTTAATGGCATCCCAGTCTTAGTCCATAGGGTTCAATATTGAGTTGGCCCACCCTTTGCAGCTATAACAGCTTCAACTCTTCTGGGAAGGCTGTCCACAAGGTTTAGGAGTGTGTCTATGGGAATGTTTGACCATTCTTCCAGAAGCACATTTGTGAGGTCAGGCACTGATGTCGGACAAGAAGGCCTGGCTCGCAGTCTCCGCTCTAATTCATCCCAAAGGTGTTCTATCGGGTTGAGGTCAGGACTCTGTACAGGCCAGTCAAGTTCCTCCACCTCAAACTCACTCATCCATGTGTTTATGGACCTTGCTTTGTGCACTTGTGCGCAGTCATGTTGGAACAGGAAGGGGCCATCCCCAAACTGTTCCCACAAAGTTTGGAGCATGAAATTGTCTAAAATGTCTTGGTATACTGACGCCTTAAGCGTTCCCTTCACTGGAACAAAGGGGCCAAGCCCAACCCCTGAAAAACAACCCCACACCATAATCCCCCCTCCACCAAACTTTACACTTGGCACAATGCAGTCAGGCAAGCAGGGGCGGACTGACAACTCATGGGGCCCCTGGGAAATAGGGGATCAAGGGCCCCTGTGTCCTCGCCCACACCCAAAAAAGCCTATGAAAAAGCCAATTAAAGGTACCAGGGGCATCTCATGGGACCCCCTACTGACACCGGGCCCTCTGGCAGTGCCAGAGTGCTCGAATGGTCAGTCCACCCCTGCAGGCAAGTACCATTCTCCTGGCAACCGCCAAACCCTGACATGTCCATCAGATTGTCAGAAAAGTGTGATTTTTCACTCCAGAGAACATGACTCCACTGCTCTAGAGTGCTGACCCTGCTCTGTCATTTTACATGGCCTACCACTTCATGGCTGAGTTGCTATTGTTCTCAGTTGCTTCCACTTTGTTATGCTACCACTAATCATTGACTGTGGAATATTTAGAAGCAAGGAAATTTCATGGATGGACTTATTGCAACCTATCACAGTACCACGCTTGAATCCACTGAGCTCCTGAGAGCGACCCATTCTTTCACAAATGTTTGTAGAAGCAGTCTGCATGTCTAGGTGCTTGATTTTATATACCTGTCGCCATGGAGGTGATTGGAACACCTGAATCCAATGATTTGGAGGGGTGTCCCAATACTTTTCACAATAAAATGTGTATATATATATATATATATATATATATATATATATATATATATATAAATGTTATTATGTGCAGTATGTGCAGTAAAAATTAATATATCTAAGTTTCTGCTCACACCTAAGTGATTTAGTGCATGTTTCCATAAGTACTTCATCAATACCCAAAATTTTAAAGTGGTATTAAACCCATGAGCAGAAATATCTTATATTGCTTTTTACCAATTCTTCAATGTGATGGCTGCATTAGCTTTCTTTTTTTTTAGACTTTTTTATTTTATTTTTCGCCTGGTTATCTGGCCACTATGTCTGTTATTTTCTTTAACAAGCCAAGCTGTCCAGATAAAGTAGAAGTTAGAGGGTTCAGACAAACCATTCAACACTGACTGGGGTGCTTTCAATGGTCAGCGTTTATTCACTTATTTAAAACCGTTATCCCAAAAGGAAAAAAAACTTTTACTGTAAATGCCTAACAAGTGTTATCTGGAGTTTAACTGGTCAAGTTGGTCAACTGGTCATGTTGGTCAAGTCCATCTAATACTACCCTCTCCCCAGACTGACAATGCTGCTGTCTAAAGGTGTCTCCATTGCTCCTCCAATGGAGTGGAGACACCCTAAGACAAAAAGTGTTTCACCAGATCATCAAATGAAAAGAAAGGTAAAAGTCTAAAAAAGAAAACTAATGCATCTACCACATTCAAGGATTAGTAAACTGCAACGTATTGCATATAGTTTCATAGTTAGAATAGGTTCACATCTGTGCGGGTGGTTCCTGCTGCGGGTCCACACCTGTTCCTGCAGTCGCAACTACCTGCACAGAAAAATGTGCTGGATGCTTGCGAGTGCCATTAATTCTAATAGCACAACGCAAGCACTGGAAATCTCTCCCGCACTAGGAACTGCACTGCTTTTGCAGATCCCATGTGGGCAGCAATTTCTAAAATGCTGCAGGGACTTTTTCCCTGTGTTTCAGGAGGCACAATAGGCTATTCAAAGCCGCATATGTGTGAACCTAGCCTTAGGCATGTTGAAAAAGAGACACAAGTCCATTTATAAAATTAATAAATAACTAGAATAATATATAGAATATATAAATATATAGAATCAATAAATAGAAAATCTTCACATACACAATCCTAAACCCACCATTGATACAGAGGAAGGCAAAAAACCCATAAAGCATGATCCACTTTACTCCAGCTGGGGGAAAAGAATACCTTCCAAGTTTTGTTTTTGAGTTTAATACATCTGAGGGATGTGCTGTCGTTCTGCACTCAGAGAAGTACAAGAGCTTCTTTGGGGCATTTTTGGCCCTAATAAACTTTAAAGGGAACACCTGAAAAATGTGTGATTTCATGTCTAACAATCATCTCCTCCTAATAACTAGCTTCCTATTGTCTACAACTGAAATACACCAAAGGAATCATTTAAAACACAGTCAATCCAGACTAAAGAAAAATCTTGTCATCATCAAACCATGTATGAAGCTATCTTTAAAACACAATGTAGGGTATAGAAATCAATAGAATGAATTCATTCAAGTACACCTCAACCCCCTGCATTGTTGTATCAGCAAAGGCGATTCTTGAGCCAGTTGTATTGCTTCTGCACAAATACTGAAATACAATATGGAATTAAAGTGGTATTAACCACTTCAAGTCCGGACACTTTTACCCCCTTCCTGTCCAGACCAATTTTCAGCTTGCAGCGCTATCACACTTTGAATGACAATTGCACGGTCATGCAACACTGTACCCATATTAATTTTTTTGCATTTTTTATATAACTTTATTTTGGTTGCATTTATTCACGACTGGGATTTAAATTTTTTTTGCTATATAATTAAAAAAGTTACAAAAATTTTGTAAAATTTTGCAAATAAATAATCTTTCTTCATAAATCTTGGCCAAAATGTATTCAGTTATCTTTTTTAGTAAAAACAATGACCCAAATTATTTTATAACCAAAAATTATAATTTTTCTATTTTTTTTAATTTTATTTTTTATTATTATTATTATTTTTTTTTTTTACATACTGTCATCCTAGCAGTACATTGTCACCATAGTGACACTGTACTACTTGTGGGGGTGATGAAGATTTTTTTTTTTATACTGATTGCTTTTATAGTCATAAAGACTATAAAAACAATCATTTCTCCTTCTCTTTGGCTGCATTCTTGCAGCCATTGAGAAATAATGTGTGAGCTGTGATTGATCACAGCTTGTCACATGGTGCAAAGCTGTTGTGAATAGCCTTGTACCATGTGACCTCTGTGATCATTCACAGATTTCACACGTAGTAAGCAATGATGTCAGAAGTGACACCTTGCTTACTACTCTTCATGTAATCACTGATTGGCCAATCGGTGATCACATGATCAGGACCTCACACAGAGGTCCCATACAACGATCGGTGTTCCACTATGTCCGGAGGACACAGCGGACACTGGATCGCGGTGCTGCACGCTCCCAGGGAGCATGCACAAGCAGGGAGAGGGGAGGCCGTTTATAAATGGCTACATGCCCCAGTACTGTGCCCGTCCAGCCATTTATATACGTGGGCTGGACAGGAAGTAGTTAAACCCAAACCAAAAATGTTACAATATGTGCACAAGAGCCTCAGCTTTCCAGGGACTCCCTCCTCATTGGCTGAGGCAGCAGCGGGAGCCCGCTGCTTTCAGTTACAACCAGTGAACCAATGAGGAGAGTGAGGAGGTGGGGCAGAGCTACTGCTCTGTGTGTGAATTGACACACAGAGCAGAGGCTCAGGAGAGAGCCTGCATGGGTACCACCATAGAAAGCAGCTTACTCTGAGGGCACTAGGCAGGAGGGAGCACCGGGAGTACTGGGTGGGGGGGGGGGTTGAGAAGAGGAGGATCTGGGCTGCTCTGTGCAAAACCACCGCACAGAGCAGGTAAGTATGACATGTTTGTCTATTTTTTAATTGCCTTCAATATCACTTTAACATACCTCCTGTAGTAGAGTGCTTACACTCCGGATCAATAGACAGCAAAGAAAGTTTAGGACAGCAGTTAATCTGGGGTGGGAGTGGGAGTGTTAAGCAGGGAATGTACTCATGGTTTTCTTTTTGTTTTATGCAACCAGTGGGTTGAACAAAACAAACCTGACATGATCCCTGGATGAACACAAGCGATGTTCTATTCTGACATCAGGAATGCCCCCCTTCCCCATAAGATACACTGAGGCTACAAGTGCTGATCAAATGCTGGTTTTCCTAGATGACAGTTTGACAGAAGCTGATCATTAGACCGACTTCTTTTGAACAGAGAAGAGTTGGCCGACTCTCAGCACATGCTGAGCTGGCCGACTTTCAGTACATGAGTGCCTGGCTTTAGATGTACTAGCATAGTTAGATACACTAACAAATTGAAGCCAAACTTCAGCTCACACTTTTTAAGCAGTTAGTTTTTTTTTTTCCTTTTGGGATAAAGATTTTACATAAATAAATAAAAGCTGGTCATTGTAACCTCCCTTGTCAGTGGTAAATGGTTTGTCTCAACCCTCTAACTGCTACATCTGCAGGACAGTTTGTTCTGTTGAAAAACAACAGACTTACTGACCAGATCACCAGGGGAAAGAAAGAAAGCCTTAAAAATAAATTAATGCAGCCATCACATTTAGGAGTAAGCTGCAATAAAATGTTTGCTTTTGGGTTTAATACCACTTTTAAGGCCAGTTCACATACAGAAACGCAGTCCAGATGTACATTTTTGGTGCGTTTGTATGCGTTTTGACATGTTCCAGTACATTTTTTATGCGTTTTTTTACCTGTTCCATTGCGTTTTTTATGCACTCAAGTAAATTTTTCCCCCCTCTCTTTTTCTTCAATTTAAATAGGGACATGTGCATTTTTGATGCATTTTGGTGTGTTCCGGTGCATTTTTGATGCATTTTACCACGTTCCAGTACAGTTCTGTGCAGAAAAAATGCAGCCTGTTCTGCTTTTTTTTTCTGCAATTGGAATGCACTGCAAGCACTGATGTGAACTCTGACATTGACTACCATATCACCTACTTTCTGTGCATTTTGGATGCAGGAAAAAAAGCAACTGAAATGCATGTAGTGCGAACTGGCCCTAAAGGAACATTTCCAGTCAACCTTCTGTTCATCTTTAGGGTCTCATTGTAGCACCTATGTCCTGATTAGCAGTATATCTCCTGATTATAAAAAGATCAGGACTTTTTCAATTCGCACTGAATTTACACTCTGGCCGCACGGGACATATGTGAAACAGCCACAACAGAAAGCAATGTTCCTTCACATGTCATGCGAATTGGATGCACTTCAACGTTGTGTGAACTGGCTTTTAACGATTTCATTTTTTAAAGACTTTACACGGTCATGCAACACTGTACCCATATGACATTTTTATAATTTTTTTTACACAAATAGGGCTTTCTTTTGGTGGTATTTACTAACCACTGGGCATTTTATTTTTTTGTGCTATAAACAAAAAAAGAGCAAAAAATTTGAAAAAAAAAGTTTTTCTTTGCTTCTATTATAAAATTTTGCAAACAGGTAATTTTTCTCCTTCACTGATGTGCATTGATGAGGCTGCACTGACAGGCGGCCCTGCTGGGCATGACTGGTGGCACTGCTGGGCACTGACTGTCGGCACTGCTGGGCAGCACTGATGGGTGGCACTGATGGGGGCACTGATGGGCACAGGTGGGTGGCACTGCTGGGCACAGGTGAGTGGCACTGCTGAGCACAGATGGGTGGCACTGCTGGACACTGAAGGGCACAGGTGGGTGGCACTGATGGGCACAGCTGGGTGGCACTGCTGAGCACAGATGGGTGGCACTGCTGGACACTGATGGGCACAGGTGGGTGGCACTTCTGAGCATAGATGGGTGGCACTGCTGGACACTGATGGGCACAGGTGGGTGGCACTGCTGAACACTGATGGGCACAGGTGGGTGGCACTGATGGGCACAGGTGGGTGGCACTGCTGAACACTGATGGGCACAGGTGGGTGGCACTGCTGGGCGGCACTGTTGGGCACTGATCATCATTGCCGATCTGTTCACTGACAACTGCCGGTTCTCAGCAGTACTTTCCTCACACTGTGACATCGTGAGGAAAGTGTAGCCGATAACTGGCAACTGTATTTACCTGGTGATCTGTTGTGTCATTGGTAAAAGGCCATTGTGATATGCCTTTTACCACATCAGGTGATCAGCTGTGTCCTACGTACACAGCAATCACGGAGATCACTGGGTGCACACCCCTGGGGGCATGCGGGAGGGTGCATTCTGAGAGGATGTCATATGACGCCCTCTCAGAACTGGACAACTGCACTGTAGCTGTCATTTGGGCTATAGCACGGTTGGCAAGTGGTTAATTGAACAGGTTGAAGTTAGAAGCTGATTGGAGTCCAATCCATTCTGCTCAATCCGCAGATCCGATCCATTCTGTGGGGCTCGTCCGAGGGGGTGTCACCAAGTGTTACCGCACCGGGTGACACCAACCCTAGGGACGCCTCTGGTTATCATGCACCTCCAGATTCTGTGTTCCCCAGTTTTAACAATCACCCCTAGTTTGTTTTTGAACCTTGACTGTGCTGCAAATCCAACCATCCAGGGGAAACAGGATCGAGCACCATGGTCAGCACAAAAAAAAACGGCCTAATTATCCACCGAATGGGTTTGCGGAATACATTAATGATTAGCGTCTTCATTTGAAAAGTTGCTGACTTTGTTAAATACACCTTTGAACAAAAATATCTGCAGAGTACACAGACTGGGACTGAAAAATATTCCATTTTGAATATGACCAACATGCAACATAAAGTAAAAGATAAAGCTTAATTTTTTTATTTTTTTTTTTGCATATAAAAGAGCTGTCACAGTGTGTACATCTGCCAATGTGTCTGTGTTCTGCCCTCACAGGGAGGACTCTGGAGGGAAAGGGAGGGAGGGAGAGTGAGAAATAAGAGACAGTGAGGAAAGGAGAGGGAGATAAGGAGAGAAGGAGAGGAGGAGGAGGAGGAGGAGCGTATACTGATGCAGTCAGCTTGCAGCATCCTGATACACATACATATATATCGCACTGAACCTCCACCCTCCCTCCTTGCTGCAGATTTCTGTGTGTGATGTGAAGAAGAGAAACACAAGTGTTCACCGCTCTGGCACCTGTCATCAGTCTACAGGTACATCTGTGATTATTGCTCCTAAGACATGCTCTCAGCTTGTTACTCTTCCCTTTGTATCATTCAATTTTGCTGTTTGTATATCATTTCTAGACAGTTACAATTTAGGTGATTTTTTTTGCATGTGAAGATCTATGCTTTAAATGAGAAAAGATGTAGAGGAATGCACATTTGTCTCTTCCCTATTGGAGATGAAGATGACTCCCGGCCATATGCCTGGCCTTGCAGTCTCAGGGCCAGGTGTGGCATGCTACATCGGTCAACTGTGTTCGGTTTTGTGCTGCATGGCTTACAGGGTTTACTAAAGTGGCAACTTCAAAGAAGCACTGGAAAGTAGATCTTCCAAAGAGAATTCCTAGATACTCTAGGAGATGTAGTATGCAAGTGTGGTGAGAACATATCAGGAGCTTGAAGTCTGTATCTAAGCAAGAGATCTGCGAATCCCCATACACATTACAATCTTTCTACAATTAACTTTTTATTTACCAAATGTAACAAAAAACATCCTGCCTAATGTATCCAATCTGGCAGGCCCTTGTACTGCATAGTGGTTGGTAGATCTAAAGGAGTTTGTACAATCAGATTATAACATGTGCAGCGAGCTCATCATGGACAAGACTTTAAAGCAGTATTAAACCCAAACCAAAAATGTAATATTTTGCAGCCTACCAGTCATTAGATGTGGTGGCTGCGTTAGTTTTCTTGTTGAGGCTTTTTCCCTCTGTTTTCACTTGGTGATCTGGCCAGTAACACACCTCTTGTATTAGGGTGCCTACACTCTGGATGAAGGAACACATTGTCAGTCTGAGGGGAGGGGAGTGTTAGGTGTACTAGCAGATTTTGGGAAAGGTTTCTTCATGGTAAGAGCTGTGAAAATGTGGAATAGACTCCCTTAAGAGTTGGTTCTGGCCAGCTCCATGGATTGCTTTAAAAAAGGCCTGGATTCTTTCTTAGATACACAGAATATAACTGGATACTAACATTTATAGGTAAAGTTGATCCAGGGAATATCTGATTGCCTCTCGGGGGATCAGGAAGGAAATTTGTTCCCTGCAGGAGCAAATTAGATCATGCTTTGCTGGGTTTTATGCCTTAATCTGGATCATGTAAAATAATCCCAAATGGGAAAAATGTTGCTGTAACTGTTTATAAACTCTTAGCTGGATTTTGGCTCAGAATTGTTAGTGTATTTAAATAGTTACATACATAGTTACATAGTTAGTCTGGCTGAAAAAAGACAAAAGTCCATCTAGTTCAACCCAAAAAAAAAAGAAGTTATAATCCTATACCCACTGTGAGTAAAGGATTATAACTTTTTTTTTTAAAGGTTAAACTGGATGGACTTTTGTCTTTTTTCAGCCAGACTAACTATGAAACTATGTATGTAGCTATTTAGACTAACTAACAATTCTGAGCCAAAATGCAGCTAAGAGTTTATAAACAGTTACAACAACAATTTTCCCATTTGGGATTATTTTACATAAATACCTGTATATAAAAGCTGACCATTGTAAGCACCCCTGTTACATAATTAGTCTGGTTGAAAAGACACAAGTCCATTCAGTTCAACCTGCAGGGTTGACCCAATCCCATAACTGCTACATCTGCAGGACAGCTTGTTCTGTTAAAAGAAAAAAAAAAAAAACAGATTTACTGGCCAGATCATCAGTTGAAACTACAGGAAAGAAAGTCTAAAGAAGAAAACAATGCAGCCACTGCATCTTTTAGATCTACAATCAACTATGCAGTTCAAGTGAGGGTATGGTATCTACTAGGTATTTACTAACTGAATAGATTGCTTAGGTTTGTTTTCATATTATTATTGTAGTATCATTGTTAGTTTTGGTAACACTGAATAAAGCAACACAGAGATTGTACATTCATTTTGTAAAGCGCTGCACAACTGTTGGCGCTATATAAATCCTGTATAATAATAATATAATAATAATTCCGATTATAAAGTGTATAGCCAGGCTTTGAGGTGCAGTGAAAAAAAATCTGAAAGTTACACATAATCTGCAAAGTTTTGCGACAAAAAGTCTGTAGAAGGAATGTAGTACTAGGTGATGGATTTACAGGTCTGTGCTTTCATACTTGCACATGGCATATTTACTTATAGTAAATAGTTTCTTAAAGTGTATATAAACTCTAACAATAGGTTTCTCTTATTTGCTCCCTTCTGGTCAAGTAAATATTCCATCGAACGCGTTTTATTACAAGTGCAAAAAAATTAGCTGATCATCCAGCCTGAATTCTTGTGAGCTAATAGCGTCATGTACTGTTGCTCTGGACTGCTATCAGTTAACATTGTACCCAGCTATCTTTATGGACTACAAAGTACCTCCCCATGTTATGGAGCAGAGAGGGTGGTGTTATGTAGTCCTAGCACACTCATTATCCTAGGGTGACAACGCTGCTCAGTACAGTTTTACCACATGACAGAAAATATGTTATAGGAAAGATTACCCAGTGAAAAATAACGGGAAAAAAGTGTGAAAAAAGTAATGCAGCCATCACATCTAAGGACCAGTAAGCTGCAATATTATTTATTTTTGTTTTTGGATCTAGGTTTGCTTTAAAAACTGAGTTAAATGAGTAGGCCTGTTTGAATCTTAAGAGATTAAAACATTTATGGGAAAGATTTAACAGACATTACGAACAATTATTGAAAGGTTTTTAAAAGGCTAAATCCTAAAGGTAATACCTGTAAGACAGCAAGTCTTCAACTGCAGCTGTAAGGTTCAGAAGTGAATGCAGGTCTTTCCACGGGTCTTATGGAAACGGTGACATGAATGAAATCACAATAAATGAAATTAATAGTCCAATAGTGATCAATATAACATGATCCATGCCTGTTAATGCTAGACCAACTTATCTTGTTCACTACTGCACTGGTATTGTTGTACTGTTGTTCTTTTAACCGTCTGACGCTTTTTCACTGCTCTTCATTTTGTACTGTTGTTATTATCACACTGTCTTTATTGTTTGAACTGTTGTTCTTTTTACTATCCGACTCTTTTGCATAGCTGCTGTTTAGCTGTTTATTTTTATATATATATATATATATATATATATATATATATATATATATATATATATTGCATTATACTTTCTTTATTGTTGTACTGTTATTAATGTTCTTTCAACTGCCTGGCCTCTTTGCACAGCTGTTTAAATTTCTGCATAGCTGCTGTTTAGCTGTTTATTTTGTTTGTATATATATATATATATATATATTATTTTTTTTTTATCTATTGCATTGTACTGTTTTTTTTGTTGTACTGTTATTGATGTTCTTTCAACTGCCCTTTTGCATAGCTGCTGTTTAGCTGTTTATTTTGTTTGTGTATATATACTGTGTATATTGTTGCACAGCTGTTTATTTTTTTTTACATTGCTTATTGCCTGGTGTATATGGTGTTATTTCATTTGTCTGGGGAAGAATAAAGCCCCCCTAAAGTGTCAGTGTTTCTGTGTGAAGCACACTTCAGTATAAATGTGGTTTATTTCCTTGCAGCTGCTGCTGCTGGAACCTTGCTGAACCTAGTTTTCAACCTAGAGTTGTGCTCACTGTACTTTCTTGGCAGACTTTTAGTTTTGCTTGCTTGACTCATAATTATTAGATGTGTCCAGCATGTAATGAACTAGAGCAGCGATGTCCAACCAGCAGTTCTGTTGTATGCTTGTCTTAGGGTGCTTCTCTGTTCATAAAAAATACATGAGTATTACTCTATTGTACACATCATTGTTTATTATTGTTGGTATAGTTGGCCCAGCTAATGTTGTCTGACTTGCCTTAGTGCTAGTGATTCATTTACGTTAGCTTACTAAGAGTATCCATATGCCTCTGAAAGTAATAAAAATATAATTGTCAGTTATTGAAAAATATGAAGTTAATATAAATGAATTTCTGCTTCTAAGGACACAGTTGCCGGAGAGGCCATAAAATAGTTATTGCACACTATCACACTCACAAAGAGACAGGGTCTTCTGCATGGCATGGCATCATTGACCATATAAATGTGGTTGACGTTTTTTCTCTTTCAGTGTGTCAGCTCCAGGCATTCTGATTGACATGGATCTGCATTAGTGGATGACATTAATGATGTACATTGTTGGACATTTTTAAGGGGGTGGTATCTGCATGGCCTCTTATTAAAGGGAGTTTCCAGATTACGATACGCACCCTGCCTGGAGACCCCCACAACTA